CGTTTCCTTCCGGCCGGCATAAAATGCCGCACGAAGGAGGGTACCAAATTGGTGTGATTTTTGATTGAAACGCATACCGATCATATAGAAGACGTGCATAAAAAAGACTCGTCTTGTGTGCATTAAGTGGCATGTCCAATCTTCAATTTTATGCCGAAAACATGAGTCTCTTTCGAATTAAGAATTTCATACTTGTAACCGTGAAATTTCCATTCACGCAACATCTTATATCTTCCTTTATTAATGCTTCCTTATGCAACATACAGTCTGGTCCATATTCACTGCAAAATTTTATGAGCTCTACATGGTATCTTTTGACTAGCATGAAGAAATATGTGATTTTTCATTCAAAGCATATAGCTTTACGCTGTACACCCAACTACCGATGGTACAACACCCCCCTCCAACTAATCCTTCCCAATCAAAAACATGTTTAGGCAGGCCAATTGTGTAAGTAGTTTCTTTTCTGGGAGAACCAATGTTGAATTGCTGTCGCTGTCGTCGAACCAGTCTGCATCTCACCAACGTCTGCATCCAAGAGCTTCTAAGGCAGTGGCGTTTCACAGTTCCATTTACTTCCCTGCGCCCCTATCTCATTCCTCTAAAACTTGCATTTGTTCTGGATTGTTCAATTTAGTTTATTTGAAGGAAAGGCATGAGCACATCTTTGAACTGTCTATTTGTTTACATGCACGTTGTGATATCAGCTTTTTTAACGTAACGTCAAATTCACGGAAGTGTGACAAGTTTGTCCAGATAAACAAAACAAAGTAGTCACACAAAATGTTAGAGCGAAGTGGCAAACTTGTGCAATTGTTACCCCGGGAATAGTACTTCAGTTTGTCGGCGATGCCAAATGAAACGAACCAATGAAGTTTCGTCATACTGTAATAGTACCTCAGCTTATCGGCGATGCCAACTGTCACGAGGCAGTGGGGTTGTTCATACGGTTGGTAAAGTCCAAATTGTGCTCAAACAAATCTTCTCTTCCAGTAGTTCGTTCGAACTATCACCGAACCGCATTTCTTGTTTCACCTACGCCTGTCCAGACATGTGATGTACTAAGCCGTCCAGGTCAGTTTTGGTCACGGTATTTATTGTGACCCAATCCTCCGATAGTGCTTCCTTCACCTGGCCGGGCGCAAGACAGTAGTTCAGGGTAGTGTCCAATTTAAATTTCCTCCAGCGTGCACTACATACTTTTGTTACCAAGCTTGATTCCACGTCACTGGCCTAATATCCTCGTTTCCTATCCTTTCATTGGACGTAATCGTTCTTCTGGTTAAAAATTAGACAATCTTGTTTTACGAAATCTAGTGATAAATTAAAAGAATGAAATTCTTTAATCCACATCACTTCTTCGTTCACGTTCGTATTAGCCAAGCTAACGTAGTGGCCAGTCATCATTCACTAACTACGACCTAAACTAATGGGAGGTTATGTCTACTGAGGGATCAGGCGCTTGATTTGCAACCCTGATTTGACGAGGGCCTGCATGACAACGGAGTTCTTTACGAAATCGCTAACCGGTTTTTCTCAAACTCCCACCCCCCCCACCCTTCCTAGGACCCTGGCTACATATGCCATCCGTGTACCCAACAGCCGGCT